TTAACACTTCTTGCCCTAAACATGACTTTAATTATAGCTACAGAGCAGTGTGGATCTCGACTCGTGCCGTGTGTGTGCAAGTTTTGTTTATTTTAATCGAAAATAGAGGGCGTAAATCAAGTTAAATGAATTGCATTTTATTCGGTTAGCTATAAACATTCTATACTTTCACAAATTTCTTTCATTTGTTATTAAATTACTAACAACAACATTTTTACTTCCCTGTAACATCTTTTGATGTGTAATATTCTTTATTTAATATTTTACTTTCTTTAATATTTTTGATGTGTTTTAAACTTTTGAACTTTTTTATATCCTTTAATGCCTTTTAACGTTACATATTTAATGCTCGAGTCCTTATTAATTTAGTTAAGTTCTCTTTTATATTTATATTCATGCTTTCAAATCTATATTTCCCTTTTTATGAGCTTTCTGATGTATTTTCTAATCTAAGTATTGTTTTTGAATTAAAATTGTTTTGTAGAAATGTTTGTGTTGTTCGTCCAAAAACTATGTTTTTAGTGAAAATGCATTTATTTTAAATAATAATAATAATAATAATAATAATAATAATAATAATAATAATCATAAATAATAATAATGATCATGAATGAATGTACAGCATTGAAACACAAGCCTTATTACACAGAACAGAGTACTGATTGTGAGTAGGCCTATACGATACCTTCGCATTTATAAATACAGTACTGAGTCTCTAAAGTGTTACAGTAGGCCTACGTTTGATTTTGTTTAGGAAGATTATTGTAACCTACAACGGTCCGGGTCGCCACATGTTTGAACGTTAATTACTATGTAAATTTGTCTTAAATTGTCTAAAAAGTGCTCAGATCAATCAATCAGTCAGTAAATCGTTCCATTTGGCGGCATTCCAACAGTCGTTGCTAGTGGTGCCGTTCCAAACAAAAAAAAAAAAAAAAAAAAAAAAAAAAAAAAACGATTATTAAAAAAAGAAAATGCGTCTTGAATAGTGACTTAGAACTGACAAGTAAAGGTGATTGTTTAATGTTCAAAGGAAGTTTTTTCCAGAGCCTTGGTCCTGGTAGGCCTAATATAAAAAAGACCTATCATGAAAGTTCGTCAAAGGAAAAAACAACTCTGCTGATTGATTAATTGAAATGATAACTTTATTAGTTTCTTTAATAATAGTTTGTGATTTGTTAGTAACAAAAAATAGGCCTATGTGTACGAGTATCTGCCAAAATATTGTTGAAGAATTTAAAATTTACAGATATTGATTATCCTGTGAATGTGGAGACTTTATAAGAGATAGTTTAACTTCAATTATATTACATTTCTATGAAAGCTCATTTAATTGACGTTGCAGAAACAGTACCTGAATAGGCCTCCATTTGAAGTGTCAATAAAATTGACAACTGGCCAATCAGAACAGGGAAAGAAACATGGGCTTGCGATCCTCAAAAAAAAAAAAAAGTATTGTCCCACCATGGACCTATGTCCCACAAACGCACTTCTTGTTTCGTACGTTTACGCCGTCGTTTTGTTGTGCGACCCCAACAATACTGAAGAGACGGGGCTTATCTAAAATGTTCATTGCTAATTTTGTATTGTTAAACTTTACTTGAAACTGGCAGTACTAGTACGGTAGGGCTCAAATAACAAGTCTTGTGGATGGTATCATTTGCATTATTTAATTTTATTTACCAAATAACATGTTATAGGCTCATTCCACTCACCGTCGCACACTCACACACACACGTCCATCCATGAGAGCAATATTACAGTGTACATCAATGGCATTTTGGTCATTATGCAGATGCAACACTTATTAATATTACGTGAAGACGGTAGTAAGAATACTTCATCAAGCTTGGCACATTAGTGGAGTAATTATTGAAAATTGGCTCAGTTTAAAGTTCAAAGTGTATCTCCGTAAAATTCACAGAGGCACTCTCACAAATATCGTGTTGTCATTTTAGTCTTTTTATTTATTAAATCAGCAAACACATAACGGCCATGGATATGCCACAGAAGTTGTTTGGCAATGCCATTTCAAAGTCAATGGTTGTAAGTTGAAATCTCAAGTTGAAAGTTTCATAGCAAAAATGAAGTCCTTTTCCAGTCAGTTATTATAGTTCTAAAAATGTTGTTTGGCAATATGTTTCAAAGTTATTGGTTGTTATTTCAAACAGTCTCTCAGGTCGAAAGCTTTTTACATATTTTAAACGAAGTTTCATTTTTTCCAACAAGCAAGCAAAGTTGTTTGACAATGACATTTCAAAGTCATTAGTGTTGTTAATAACAATAATTAATGATAAAACAAAGTACATTTGTAAAGTTTCTAAATAGCGAAAATATTGTCCATTTTCCAATCAGCAAACACAATAATGGCCTAATAGTTGAAAGTTTCTCAATAGCGAAAATAAAGTCCATTTTCCCATCAACGAACACATAATGCCCTAACCTCTTCATCTGATGTAGGCTTACAAAAGTTGTTTGGCAATGAAATTTGAAAGTAATTGGTTGGTTGAAAGTTAAAACAGTCTCAAGTTGAAAGTTTCTCAACATCATTAAAGTCCTTTCTTCCAATCAGCAAACAAAATGGCATAATCTCTTCATTTGCGCTAAGCCTGCAAAAAGGCATTTGTTTCAAAGTCAATTGTTGTATGTTGAAAGTCTGAATTTGAAAGTTCGACAGTTTCTCAATAGCGAAAATAAAGTCATTTTTAATCAAAACAAACACATAACGGTCTTACTAAATTGATTTGTCTGCTATACAGTAGGTTTAGAAAATATATTTGGCAATGATGTTTCAAAGTCATTTGTTAGTTGAAACAGCCTCTCAGGTTGAAACTTTTTAAATTTTCAAAGCAAGGTTTTCTACATCTGCCATAGGCCTAAAATGTTAGCCAATGACATTTCAAAGTTGATACAGGCTCAGGTTGAATGTTTCTCAAGTTGTAAAGTTTTTTTTTGTTATTTTGTGTGGTTTTTTTGCAGTCAAAACTCATTGCGTAATTAAACTCTTCATCTGCTATAGGTTTACAAAAGTTGTTTGTTAATGACGTTTCAAATTTACTGGTTTTAAGTCGAAGAAGCAGTTTGAAGGTTTCTCAGTTCGCAAAGCTAAGTTCTTCTGATATTGTAGCTGTTGAGCGTTCGTTTCCAAGTTCTGGTGGTTCAATGACATCCAAAGGTATAAAAACAAAAAAAAAATCCGTATTGCTCTTTTACGCAAAATGAAAAAGATCCCCGAGCGGCAGTATACATTTCTGTTCTTGCCGTTTGTAAGTGTATATACTTCGTTATTCGCCAACTGTCGTATCCATCTGCAGTAGGCCTTCTCAAAGATAGAAAGTTTAAAACGTTGGCCAATTCTCTGAAAGACCTCATTATTTTTTATGTCTTCTTGTTTAGTTGCTTATACGGTTGTGCTGTGGAACAGCTTCTGTCTGGTGATCATTCAGTTGTCTGCAAAAATGACATAACCGTGCTTGATTTAATTTGTTTTTCATACACACGTTTCGGTCTAAGTATGAGGTACTTTTAAATTAATTACATTACAATACATGTAATAATAGTAAAATTATTTACTAAACTGTGATTTATTTATTCATTAGTACATAATACTATGTAGTACGAAATACCTCCAGTTAAAATCCATGAGAATGCAATAATTTGACATCTAAATACATCTATACAAATAAAGTTGATTAGGCCTACTTACTTTAATATTTAAAAGACGATGATTGCTGGTGATGATTCCGATCCGTTAAAAAGGTTTGTCGGGAAATTGTCTGTATTATAGGGGAGCATATACAAATCAACAGTCTGGGGCTCGTTGATGACGACGATACAGAAATCCCCTGCTGGCTGCAGTCCGATGTGGGCTTGGCTATGCCGCTACTAGGAACAGAAGAAGGGCGATAAAACTAGCTGCATATTCTTCTATTACATAATATTAATATTGCACTTAACCTCAAATAATAATTGTGGCCAATTACCAGAATAATGTTGTATCAAAGACAAACTTGCGTCTACGGGGGTCCTTGCTAACGGTATTAAGGCGTATTAATGACTATATTTAATATAAACGGTTTGGCATTTCATACCTACAGTACAACTACGGGCGACTTCAAACGTGAACTTCACCAACTACCATGATGAACTTCTTGAGTATTCAACGCTCACTGTACATAGCACCTGTCGGTAAAACACAAAATCGTTTGTGGAAATACAGGTGTAAAAACCTGGATACGTATGCGTGCTGACTTGCATGAAGGTCTACCATAATTTGTATGTATTTCATACCTACAATACATA